GCACGCTTCCAGAAGTCCTATCGATAAATGCTCTACTTCCTATGCTGCTTCACTACTTGTAGTGTTTGCTGTGTAGTAACATTTTCGATGGTGACTAAGACCACTGGTTTGATCGTATCTACGACATTCAACAACAGCAGTTACGGCCGGACAATCTACTATCGTCTTGTGTTAGTAATCACTAATTAGTTCACGTGAAGGAAACTGTCTTAATTAGTCTTAGAAGCGTTCAATGTAAGTGCTGCGGTAAGTTGATAATGAATGTTTGCCAACGAATGTGTATTCCTGTTAGCCCGTGCGTATCGCGTTCCCTAACCACGGGAATTACCTTTTAAGCATTATTTATGCGAATATGTTAGTTATGACGAGGTAATGGTCAAATTATTAATACCGTTATCCATATATATTATTAATGAGTCGAATCATAATGCATTATTATCCATAAAGTAACCCCATTCCACCATATGCAACCAGCGGCATTCGAAAACCGTCCTCTGTTAAACGCTCTCATGTTTGGATCGTTCCCCAAGAGTCTCTAGCTCGAGATGTGTTAGCCTTACTCTCCTTTGATAATTGTATGATTATCCTATGATTTCCTATGATTATCACCATGGGCAGCGATAATTGTAGGCATTCCCTCTTTGACCCATTGCCGTCGGCAGGTTCGCGCTGACGGTTGGACTTGTACGACTGCGTGCACTAGATGAAAACCGTGGGCCACGGTCCGTGGCTCTGACACTTGATCAGGACAAGAGATACCCCTCTCATTCGCTGACCGTGATGGTCGTTGAAATACTGCCACTTTCTCATCGACGAGGAAATGGCAGGATAATGACAATGTCTAGGTTGGAATTCAAAGGAGGTCTTCCAAAAAATGCGCCTCTGTAAGGTGCTGTGAAACTCTCGAGAGGACACTTCCAGACTCCAACGAATTACTGATTATTATAATGTTCTAGAAGATGCTCATAAACAGAATGCGTGTCTACCGTGTCTTTGGTTATGTTCATCCTTGGTTCTATTCGGCATTTACCACCCCCTAGGTACTGAGAACAACTCAAAACAATCAAGGAATGACCATCTTCACGAAATATGATGAAAGCCTATCATTTGCTACTAGTGTAAAGTAGTAGGAAACTAGAAACGAGAGGTAGAGAGGCTGTCCCTTTATAGGGCGTAGAACTCGAAATCACGATCCTTCTTCCGGACATGCTCCTTCCAACCCTTACAATGGACCAATGATCACCACAGAAGCGATAGGAGTATGCTCACCTTTTCAAAGTCCTTTTGAGTCACCACATACCGGTTCCTCCTCACAGCTTGCATACCTAATACAACACTTCAAACAACGACTCTCTAAAAGATCCTTCTACCAGCCTCCTGGCATATTGCTGCTATGTCTGCGGCAGAAATCTTCTCGGGTCGCGATACGAAGTCCTCGAGGTCAACGTCTTCAGAAAGATTCATCTTACCAGTGATGGTTTGAAAAATGAGCCTATCACTCGACGATACACTACAGCATATAAGTCTTAGCATGTATACCTCCGCTGCCTCCTATCAGGGAGAGGGAACTCTATTTTCCTATCGAGACGACCAGGACGTAGTAAAGCAGGATCAAGAGTATCCGCTCTGTTGGTGGCCATGATCACCTACATCATCATTATGACAACTATTCCGACCCCATACCAGCTAGTCATTACCTTCACAGTAGTGTCTTGGTCAAAGCCATCCATCTGGTTAAGCAACTCCAGTAAGATACGCTGAACCTCCCTATCCGCACCTGAACAGCTACAAGTGAAGCAAGGCGCGATAACGGGCACATACCAGTTTGGGCATCAAAACGCTTGGTGGCGATGGAATCAATCTCATCGATGAAGACAATAGAAGGAGCTTGCTCTCGAGCCAGACGGAATACATCTCTGACCATTCGCGGGCCCTCTCCTGAGAATCGACCTTTTTATAGTAATCGATTCACGGTGAACTTACCTAAGTATTTTTGAACAAATTCTGAACCGACCATCCTGATAAAGGTGGCAGTAGTATGATTAGCGACAGCCTTAGCAAGCATGGTCTTTCC